CTATCCATGGTCATCCGAAAATCGGCTCCAGTTTATCTGGACGAAATACAATGTTCTGAAAATAGGCCATGAATGTAATCATGAATATCGTCTAGGAGCGCCACAGCTGCAACATGCTACGCGGGAAAGCGACCTAGAGGTAATAGTGCAGGACGACTTAGGCTGATCGAAACATGCGAAACAGCTATGGGGAATAGCCAATAAGCACCTTGGCCTCTTACAAAAGACAGTCGGGAAGTTCGAGCCATCAATCTTTCCACAGATGCTGAAGGCCAAATGGAGTGCGCAATCCAGGCTTGACGATCTTGGCGTAAACACGATGTTGCTGCACTCAAAGTTCCGCTACGTACGGCGATGAAGATCGTTAGAGGACTGTTTCACCTTTGGTACCAACGCAGACTGTAAGACTTAGGGTTGTACAACAACGAATATCGGTGCCTGCGAGACATTATGATTGTTTGCAAAATACTAACTAGTCCCAATCACGACCAGTTGCAAGCCAGCCACAAAACAAACCTGAGAAGCCATCAGATCAAACGGAATACGGACTACAGTGGGCGTGATTACCTACGAAAGGTTTTCTACTTTCGGGTATCCAGAACATGGAACGCTCTGTTCTATGGTACTGAGATTTGGACCCTTCGGTCTGAAGAGCTGAGGCGCCTTCAAGTCTTTGATCATCGTTGTCTGCGAAGCATAGCTGGTGTCGTATGGCACCGACGTGTTCGCAACGATGATGTGCGTCAGCGAGTACTAGGTAGCGATAATCATGCTAGCTCCCTAGAACAACAGATAGCACTGAATAAGTTGCGTTGGCTCGGGCACGTGCTACGTATCGCTTACCTAGGAGGGCCTTGTTCAGTCTACCAGGTGTAGGGTGGCGCAAAACTCGAGGTGGACAGAAGTTGACTTACCTGCGGGAAATGAAGTCACTGACGACCAAACTGGGTGGCGTTGGTCCGTCTCGCCTTCCGGGCTGGAGTCCACGTGGCTCGCCTTGTGCTTGGATCGAGACTTTACAGGAGATGGCTCGCAACCGACACCAGTGGCACATCTGTTGCCGTCTCCTAATCGGATTGTCTGTTTAAAGTGTGTTTGCTGCTGAGTTATCTGCGGGGTAATGGCTGATTATGACGAGGGGCAGTGAAAGCCGGAAGGAAGCTCTCGCCGATGTCACCTTATCTTTGCACAATAGCCAGCTGTTTGTGACGTTATGTTGTCTACACAAGGTGTACGCGCCTTGACCCTGAATGTTTGCTTAGGACATTAAGGTTTTCAGGTAAGTCCCCCTTCTCTCCCTCTTATTATTCTTTATTCCATAGATCCTCATGTTTGTATGGCAGCGAAGCATCAGTGCAAATGGCTGATGTACTGCTGTTGATGATGACACTATTATAGGACGGTGCTGAGATCCTTCGCCACGCACTGAGCTCCCTGTTCGAACAGGTCTGGAAGGAGGAGACCATGTCGGCCAAGTGGCGTGAATCGAGCACAATGACAAGATCCCACAAGAGCAGACGCTGGTACTGTGCTAACCACAAGGGTATTGTCCTAACGCCGGTAGTGACAGCCAACAGCCTCAATTATAATGCGCCACCTTACTGGCGAAAAGAAATCCCGGAGTATGGAAAAGCAGACAGGTTTCCACCCAAGTCGGGGCTGTATAGACTATGTACCTTCTATGCGGTAGGTGAAGCAACGTACCGCAGACCGGCAATATCAGTGGACCAGGACTGTAAAAGTAAGGTCGACTCAGTCGATTTATCCATCCAGTTCGAGATGATTAGGCACAGTACTCTAACAGCACACCATCATAATGGAACCGGTCGCTTAGGTGAGGCGAGCTCTGGATGCTCCAAAGAATTACAGATCTAGCACCATCCTGAAACTACAAGCGAGACACAGTCAACAATCGCTCTGGTCACTGAATGATAACAACGCGCCGGCGTATGAGTAGTCCGGAGATCGAGCACAGCCTATACATAGAGTGATATCGGCGGAGTAAGTGAGGCCACACCGAGAGTCATCGAACCATCGCTAAAGTCTGTGATGATTCAATGACCTTGAGCTAAGCGAAACACCATAAGTAGAACTAATCTGATGTGTATGAATAGTTTTACTGATGTGATTACACTGTGCAACATCATTTACATGACAGAAAAAAAAGAATGTTTCTAGTAGTACAAAGTGAGGTGAGTATGGATATATAACCCAAATGTTTTCATCACGTCTGGGTATTTTTACTTTCAATTTTTAATTTCAGCTAAGCAGTGCGTTCCATTCATCGAATGCTCGCCTGCGATCAGTCCATTCACTCCCTGTAATCGTGGAAAAGAAGTCCCCTTCGTCATAGTATACACCTGATATTGAAAGTCGATTGAGAGCTGTGCTTCCTTAATTGATATCTTGATCACGGCTGAAAGAAGCTGTTCTGTCAATGATCGAAATCATTTCTGTAGTGTCTGTGGACAGTTTACTACAAAGTCGCAGTGCAGACCCATTTCCCTACTACTGAAGTCTGTCTACCACGCATATTTCGGGATGAAACTGGGAGATCAGGATAAGAAGTGGGCGCCGCATATTGTTTGTGTGTCGTGCAACCTTCATCTGACTCAGTGGCTCAAGGGCAAAGGAAAGATGCCCTTTGCAATCCACATGGTGTGGAGGGAGCAGAAGGATCACACGACAGACTGCTACTTCTGCTTACCCAATGTCCTTGTAATCTCCAACCGAAACAAGGACCAAATTCATTACCCCGATCTCCCATCAACTATGCGACCTGTTCCACATGATTGCACCTTACCCATTCCAGTGATCATGTCACTGGTGAAGAGTAGTGATTCCGGATCGTCAACTTCACCTGATTCTGACATCTGTGAAAACTTTGAAGCTGATGTTGTCAACCCACATCTTATTGAACAATCAGAGTTGAATGACTTGGTAGGTGACCTGGGCTTGCCTAAAGACAAGGCCGAGTTGCTGGCATCTCGGCTGCACCCAGTGGCACTTACTTGCTGCAAACACTAAGATTACCGATACAGAAGGCGAGGTGTTAAATTGTCTGGTTTCTATGACACGAGAGAAAGCTTTTGTTACTGTTCCGACGTGGAAGGACTGATGAAGGAACTTGGTCTGAGGCATATCAGTGATGTATGACGTTGGTTCAATGACTCGTCCAAGAGTAGTCTTACGCTCATACTGCTTCACAATGGAAATGTGTACCCAACAGTGCCTCTGTTGCATACCACCAATATGAAGGAGACTTAGGAAAGTGAGCGACATATACTCGCTACATTGTACTACGATCAGTACTGTTAGAACATATATGTTGACTTCAAAGGCATTGGACTCCTAATGGGTATGCAAGGGGCTTCACAAAATACTGTCCTTTCTTGTGCTTACGGGGCAGTAGAGCAACGCAACAGCGCTACACAACCGAAAAGTGGCCAGAGAGGACGGAGTGTGCTGCAGGGAAAATGAGTGTAAGGCATGCACCTCTTGTGCAACCTGATCATGTCCATCTACCGCCCATGTACATCAAGCTTGGTTTAATTTTTAAAAAAATTCGTCAAAGCCTTCAAGCGGGATGGTTTTGCGTTCCAGTGCCTGAAACAAGTGTTTCCGAGGGTCAGTAATGCGAAACTCAAAGAAGGGATACTCGAATATAATAAATAATAACAATGTGTCAGCTGTACGCCGTAACGGCGCTTCGCTGCTCTACGACCACCACCAGTCGCGCGCGGGCTGAGTATACCGCGAGGACGCCCACCTCTACGCGGATTCGAACCGGTGACCTTATGATTGCAAACCAAACGTGCAGACCACTCGGTCACCGGCCAACAAGGGATACTTGGCCTGATCTTCGCCGGATAATGGCAGACAGTAGTTTTGAAAGCCAGTTGAGTTAGAATAGTGGTAATCATTCAAGACAGTGTGTACAGGATTTTTGGGCAGAACGAAGGCAGAGAACTACAAAGATATCACAAGATAGGTCACTGCGGACTGTCGGGATGTTGGTGTTTGAATGTCACTCGAGACGCACTTGATGCATAATCATCTTAACTTTTCCCTGGGAACTTGGGATCTGTTAGGGATAGCATGGTGAGCGCTTTCACCAAGACATTTTAGTCATAGAGAAGTGGCTGCAGTGGCAAGTGCACGCCTTCTATGGTGGGTGACTTATGCTGGTTTCTGCAGCGTGATGGCGCTGGATCATACAAACGACGATCTAGGCAAAGTCATCATTTCCAAGTGCCAAGCTGCAGTTAGTAGTTAGAGGCGAGTGTTCCAGTGGTGTTTTAAACGTATTCGCCAAATAGATGCATTCCGTATATTTTTGATTCAGTACATTTGCATATAATTCGAACGACGTAGCTTTGATATTACTGAAAATAATCATTTGCTTATAACAATGTAACCTGACGTTCTGGGTAACATTTCTACGATCAGTGTAGTGTATTCTATAAGGCAGGAATATTGGGGTTTCTGTCCTAGAAAATACATTTTTTTGTTGCACAATATTATACTTAAGTCTGATGGCTAAAATCAGTTAAATCGAGTAGACACCATAGCGTATACCTCGTGCCGAACGATTGTATCCCCAGATTTCGAGCACACCGGATTCACAATATGAATGTAATGCCGATTGACATAGATCAGGCCGTTAAGATGTATATATAATCGAAGCAATGGTGCTGAAAAGAAAATCGCAAGCAGACGCTTAGGAAATGTACAGCAAATGCTAAGAAGTTGCAGACGAATAGGAAAAGCAAAATAACATTCGGAAGTAGAATGCTCTTTGATGACCGTGGTGGCTCAGTGTGGTATCGCTGCAACGTCTAATGCCGGGTATACAGAACAAAATGTTGGCACGGGCTTGAGTAATTCAGATGACGGATTCGCTTCGCTAAAATGTGTTCGAGCAACCCTGCGTTGGCGTCAGCTCGGCTTCGAGTTTTCGCTACCGGCGTTGTTTTATAAACCATAGAACGGTCTCGAATTTACCAAAATGTTGTGATGCAATGCAAAATAGCTTGGAAACAAAGAAGAACAGAATGCTTGGTAATCCAAATATCGACAAACCTACCTACGCTGCCTAGAAAGTAGATCAGCTCAGGTGTATATAAAATTAACCAGTGAAATTTACATGAATCCTGTCTGATAAGACGATATTGTAAATCGTCACAAACGCCTTAGAGAAATCAAAGTCCGTCAACACGGATGTGCGTTGGAAAAAACAATAGTGTGAATTTCAATGTGACATCGATCCACTACAGTGCACCAATTTTAGGGACGATGAATGCCAGAAGGGGGGAGGCGAGGAATGATGTGTTCAAAGAGTTACGCGATGAGGACAAGCAGCATTAACACAATTAGGCAGCGGGGGTGGGGAGGAAATTATCTCCGACGGTTATTACGCATATCCTTTCCGCTGTTGTAATCCGCCCGGTAGGATCGGATGTTTGCAGCAGCTTCGTCTGAGTTGCTTCCCTCCTCTTCATCAGAGTCCGATTCGTCCTCATCACCGGAGTCTGAAGCTTCTTCACCATCACCTTCCTCAAACAAAGCAGCATTGGCATCAAATTCAATGTCGTTGTTCTCTTCTAACTTAACAGTATCTGGAATTTCACCTGTTAGGATAAAGCAGAAACCGAGGGGCAAATCATTGGTGCGGAAAAGTCAGAAGACGATTAAGCATAGGACAGATGTAAAACAATTAAAATGTTCTCGGCACATGAGAGTATCGCAACTCCCGGGGCCATGCGCGGATACAAGCGACGTGCATCAGAGTTGCGCTGTCTTCATTTATCTTCAACAATGATCGGAAAGGTGTCCAATGACTACCTTGATCTGCTCCTAAAGTAGAGAAACCGCTAGGTGGACAACTAGCCAACATTGGCCACCTAACCGGCTTCGAATAGGACAGTCACTGTGCAAGAACGTCTGCAAAGACAAAGTCGTGGTGTTACGGGCACCAACATGCGTTTCGTTACATCAAAATAAAGAGGTTTATTAAAAGGACCGGGACGATGTGTTACCTGTTATTACCAACACTGATCGTCCAGTAGGAGCGGTGAATCCAAGCAGATGTATACCTTTTGGTGATGAACAAACCGAGAAGGAAACTGTGCGCATCGAAAAGGCCAGTGTGATTTGTCAAAGTATCGCCCCTCCACAATACATCAACTCATCAGCAAAGGAGATTGCGCAGAACATTTCAGCTAGGTCGGTGTTACTCTATGGATCAGAGACAAGGCCGTAATGTACCGGTGACATAAGGAAAAAAGTGGTGTGGGGTTATTGGTTCGTATCTGATGAGATCTAAAGGTGGGTAACGCTGAAGTGCGTTACTTGATGCATGACAACAAAGCCGCTGGCATTGTACTAGGTAGTTAGTTGAAGTTGCACCGTCAATGGTTGGATCAAGTACTCCGAATGCTTGTCCACCGTCGAAACCTGTGTGTAAAGATTAGCAGTATTTTGTACGGTTGGGTGAAGCCACAAGGCCGACGAAATGTATGAAAAAGCCGACTCCGAAATTTGGCACCCACCGTCTTCCATAACTGGACACAGCAACAAATGCAGACCATATGCGAGGTGGCACATTCGGTGTGGTGTAGCCCTTCAAGGGACAAAGAAAGTTTGGACAGCTATCAGAATCTGCCGCTCGCAAAGCGAAGCACCGATCATACTGTACAACAATTTTAAGCGTTATCTGGTTGCAACGATTTTGCAATAAGCGCTTCTTCAGCCGTCTGTCTATGTTCACCATCGGTGCACGTCCACACTGCCCAGTCCGATCCAGTTCTATAGCAAAACTCCGATTGACTCATGCTTGACTGTGCTAATTCTCCGCTGTAAGTTTGGCCCGCGGTTCGACGACACCTAATTCGCTTGCTTTCCATGAAACCCACTCTCCACCGCTTGTTCCCTGGACCGAGATAAGCACAGCGGTAGCGAGTGATTTCAAACAGCGAGCAAGTAACCGATGGAAACAGTGGTAAGTGCAACGAAAGAGCCTATGGCTAAAAATGCAACACATCAATTTTGCAGCAACCAGCAAGTAAAGTGTGTCCGGGAGAGTGTAAATGCAACACTGGTGAGAACATGCAGTGAAACGCTCGCTTAGCAATTGACAAAAATGGACTAAGGCATAAGGTTCGATCCCACCGAAGATTGTGACCCGCAACAAAGTAAAGCTGTGACCACGGCCCGTTCTTGCGAAGACGATTTGCGCATCTGGCTTAAGTGTCAAAACCAGCACCAACATCAAATCGATAACTGGATGAGAGATAGACAGAAGGATACATCTACCGTGGATAGTTGAGCGATTGCCTAACCAATAACCAAAATGCCGATTGTTTTAGGTGACAAGGAGTCTGCTGATGAAAGGTGGTCTGGAACTGACGGGGGAACTGCGCTGAAGTAAGAGCATAACGAGCATTCTATTCAGTGGATGATTACACACAACACTTTCGCATCAACGAAGATAGACCGGACTACAGAACACAATGATGAAGAGGATCTCAAAGGAAGAGCGTCGAAAGGGTGGAACGTACCCAAAGATTTCAGAGTTCTGGCTTCGTCATTAAGATACTTCATGATCACGTCGGCCTTTTTGTCCTGGTAATCTCGAAGGCCAACTAGAATAATGTCTCCATTACTAATCCAAACCTGTCAAGAGCAAAATGGAGTAATATGGTTCAAACGAGGACACTGATATAAAAGGTTCTAACAAGCACTACATTTATATTAACGCAATTACACGTGGAATCCTCCGGAATCAAATGACCAATGACACGTGGCATAAAGAACAATGACGCATGTTTATTGTTAATAGCCGAATGATAAAAAATCGATAACGGTGGAACATAAAGCAAACGACGGTAAAACGGATCAAAACGCTAATTGAGAATTAGATCGAGGGGTTCAAGAATACATGCAAGTCTGGTCCAGGAGATCTGTAGAAGCCACGTTAGGGAGCTAAAGACGGGATTGGTATAATTGGGAAAACAGGTACATGTAAAAAAGCAAGACTCCAACTGCACAAACAAACAAACAAAGCACAGGAGTCATCCCAAGTGAAGGTGAAATTAGTGCGTATACATAAGAACAAAGAAATCCAAGCATTCAAGTTAGGAGGCCGAAAATGAAATGTATGTGTCAGCTTATACGCCGTAACGACGCTTCGCTTCCGCGCGACCACCACTAGTCGCGCGCGGGCTGAGTATACCGCGAGGACGCCCACCGTTACGCGGATTCGAACCGGTGACCTTATGGTTGGAAAGCAAACGTGCCGACCACTCGGCCACCGGCCGACGGGAGGCCGAAAAACGATTACGTTACAGGAACCGGAGCAGCATGGACATTTAACGTGAGGAGAAACTATCAAAAGGTGCCAGACAAAAGACTAGAAACGGGTCTCAGGAGCAACTACAGTCAAGATGCCCATTAGAACAAGTGAAAAAGCATAAGTGATAAATCAGAGGAGTGAACCAAGTGAATGGGTCACCGCCATATTTATTAGCGACCCAACGTAGTCGTGTTTCCCGATATCAAAAGTGCTTTCCATTCCATGGAGCGATGTGCCTTTTGGGACTGCCTACTCAGGAAAAATAAGCCCGACAAATACGAAGACATTCACCGCAATTCATGCGTGCAGTTAGGGCAGAGTGAGGGCTTACGGCAAACTGTCGCCAAACTTCAAACGTGAGACAAAGATGCCCGATGTCATCTTTTCTCTTAAAGTAAGCCATTGAAGAGGTTATGAAAACTGCATCCATTCCACAAGATTTGAGAAGTATGCAGCTACTCACAGGTGATCGACTTCTTGACAACGATATTGACCACATCACTGATACCTACCAAACGTGTCAATCAGAACTGGATAAATTAGCACTAGCTGGCAATCGTTTCGGGCTGTTTTGCATCCTCGAAATTCAAAGGCTTCTTAGAAAGGGTGTGTCCAAAAAATTCGTAAACATCATTGAAGCGTTTTGTCCGCACAGTTTGGGCAGAGTGAGGGTTTACGACAAACTGTCGCCGCCCTACAAATATCATCAGCGGTATGAGACAAAGATGCCCGATGTCACCTTTCCTCTTTAACTGTGCCATTCAGAAATCAAGGAGATTGCGTTCATTGGACACGACCTAAAAGGCGTAGGCTAATTCTTGGTGAGCGACTTCTTGACTGGGACTACGCCGACGACATTTCCCTTAACTGTGGCGGCTACCAAACGTGCCAAGCAGAATTGGAAAAATTAGCACTGGCTGGTAATCGCTTCGGGTTATGTTTCGCATTCCGGAAATGCAAAGTCCTAGATGGGCATGGACCCACCCCTGTGCTGACTCTTCGTGGAAATCAGCTAGAAATCGTTCAGAAATTTAAATGTCTAGGCAGCCATATTAGTGTCCGTGGGATTGTATATGATATCACCAACTGTATGGTAAAAGCTCGACACGCTTTTGCCAATCGCCGCCACCGGCGGCGTCGAAGCCACATCACACTCGCTCAAAAGGACCGAGTTTACAATGCAGCAGTGCGTTCAACCCTCTGGTACGGTTGCAAAACCTAGTGTATTAAATCGAAAGACATAAAAAGACTTGTTGCGTTCCAACACAGATAGCTTTCAAGCATAGCTCATATCGGGTAGGAATACCGCGTAAGCAATGGGCGTGTTCGATGCATCGTATTTAGTGCAGGAAGACCGAGTGAACCGCTCAACAACATTAGTTCACGTATCACGCTCTGATGGGTGACCCATGTGTTGCGCATGCTAGCACACCGACTCCCACGACATGCGTTGTCTGCGCGACCTGGGTCTGGATGCAAGAAGAGGAGGGGAGGTCAAACAATGACTTAGTCAAGAGAAATAAAAACCCTCACTTCGAACTTGGCGTCGGTTGGTGTCTCCCGGTCGTCGGGATGGGGCCCAAAGGACGATAAACACGTCCAGTTGGATACATTAGCTGACATGGCGAAGAGCCGATCTCAATAGCGTTGTAAGTATCTTTGTCAAGACTTCTACTCCCCCTCCAACAGCGATCACAATCTTGAAGTATAATGTTACTAAGTAGTATAGTACCTGATGGTGTTTATATTTTTATAATGGTTTGTATCACGTTTTCACATATCTTTTTGTACTGCGGTACAATAGTTGAAGTGTGTTCCTCACCTTGAGATAATGTGTCATGATAGTGATGAGGGCGAAAATTCAATTACTGGCCACCCACTACAGTGTACCCGTGAAGTAAATTTAATGAATTGTCCAGTTCCATCTAGTAAACTGCGAGCACGCATGATTAAAAACCATCTCGTGCGATTAAAAACGCGGAATTTATCGATAAAAATCAGATAACGCTTGCCTTCTTGCGAAGTTTCCCGCGGATATGGCACAGACGTTTGACACCATCGAAACAATAAGCCTCGAGCCTCCCATTGCCCAGTAGTCTCTCTACTTTGGCATATTCTAAAAACAGAGGAGCAGAAGAGCGATCATCAATAAAAAGAAGCAAGTACAAACGTTAGAATGCCGATGCATCAATAGAAGGTAAGTCTACGTACGTGAAGGCAACGACAATATGCCTGTGTGGAAATGCTTGATCAACTATGAACAGTGCGGCGAAATATAGTGGATGCTATTGCCTTGGCAGAGATCACCAAATAAGTGAATCAAAACTGATAAGTGACGGAAAAATAACACGGAAAATCCGACAACAAATAAAGCTTAAAATAATCTGGTGAACGAAAAAGGAATCAAATGGGGTTTAAGCTAAGGGTATCATGACTGCCACACACGACACGTCTTCAAAGCATCAATACGACCGGTCCTAAGGTCCCCGCCCCGTTTCGTTGAATAATTTCAGCGAGAATCATCCAACCAGGTGTACAATTGACCAAAAATGCACAGGGATGCAATCAGTCAGTACACATGAGGGCATCATCAAGACATTGCTGGAAAGTCGGGGTTAACAGATAGATAGTCTAGTGTGACATCGGAGGACTGTCTGACAAATGCCAATAGGCATAGATAAAGACTAATCGTTCCATGCGCTAATTCCCAGATATGGGTAGTCTCGTGGTCGTCGTGAGATTTTGAGAGCAACACGGGGATTACTATTATACACTTCACCCTCGGTGATCTGATGACAGAGGTGAATAAACCCCCCTACCAATGATTGTTTAGTGACAGTGAGAACTTGATGGTGCATCGGCCAACTCATGGGGCCGTGTACTGGCACCTGAAAGAATGCAGCACTGTGTTTCCCTATGCAACATCGTCTGCATTGTGCCTGGACCTGACCGCAGCAGATGTGTCCTCTGCGTATGTCATGCTGGACAGCCAGTCACTAGAAAAAATATAACAAAAAAGTTGGGAGGCAGAAGACAGCCATTCATGGCCATTTTGACCGTAAACTCGCAGAGACATGACAGGTCGGGTATATTACTTTTGACTGATAAGCCCAAAATGAGGTACCCTGAAAACTACTATCCGTAACCGGGAGTCGCTATGTTGAAATGTATGAACGGAAAAAAAACTTATTTGACAAATACTTCCTATATGACTTCAGCCATTAGATGCAAGTGACATACGTTGCTGTCTTAGGGTGTGTTGCCCCTATAAGCGTCTTTCATTTGTAAACAAAAACCAAATGTGTTTGTGCGACGATCGCCATCGCGTTATGTTGCTGTAAACGCTACTAAATATTTTGAATCACAAAATCGTGGAATTTAGTTGAAACCTATCAAGAGGTCACAAAGTGAATAAAGTTTGGAAACATTTGATTGGCATGGCGCTCTCCTTTCTTCGTGTTAATAAACTCCAAGTTCCCCCTGGTTGTAAGTGACCAAAACATAGTAAGTTCATCTACTATGTCGTATCTCAGCGTCGTTTGTCTCCACAGAGACCTGTATTTTTCAATGCAGATTTGTGAAAAACTTCGCAGTCAGGAGGCTACCTCTTCGTGTTCTCAAACTGAAGACGCTTTAGATGACTAACGGTTCAATTTTTATGCTTGTGATAGCATACATTTCCCCTACTGACTTTACCATTCTCCCGTTAACTACCCTGGTTGTCTTCAATTCTCGGGTACGTGGTTGATAAGACGCATTCTTAATTGCAGTGGGAGATCCGGAGATTCGTCTGTTGATTTCTTACCAGCAACCATTACGAGGCCGTGACGCATCAGCAGTACACCGCTGCTTGGTCATCAGGCAGTCACGAGAGGCTGTACACGGAGCGATGTAATGATACAGGAACATGCAAACACATGCAAAAGTGGGAACTCGAATTCGCGATATGCAAGCTAGATGCCATACTCACTAACCTCCATGGATTCGATTTGACTTCTGAGATACTAAAACATCATTCTTTTAACGCAGTTAACATGCAGAGCCTAATGTTCACGGATTGCACCTATCGTATTACATCATACCGTACCTACCAGGCTGTTGTCGATCCAGCTAATCATTAATACGGGTTGCGGCCGTTTGATAGAGAGAACTGCACACAGTTTAAAGTTTACGCTTCGTTTCTGTATACCGCGTTGTTGGTATACTTTAGCAAGTCCCTGAGGGCACTGAGGACGCTGAAGAAACATCCATGCTGATGCATAAAGCAAGTTTTGAAGTGACCGCAGGAAAGGACTGAGGTCAGCATCTGCAGCCGATTGCTATGTAATCTAATTGGGTATGGCGCAGCAAACTGTTCGATGAGCGCCAGCTTGCTATGCAAATGCTTATTTTAGAAATCTGTGCTATTGATACCGAAGCTGCGTTCGGGGGGCAGTTGAGTAAATTTATCGTCATTGTCAGTGTGACAAGTGCTGTTTCTAAAACAGTCCCTCGTCGTCATATTCTGGCCCAAATAAGCTATCAACTCGAGTAAATCCGTCACCGGCGACAATCCTAACATCCGTGTTCCTATGTCGCAAGGAGAGTGGATTAGATATACCAAGAGGATCCGTCGCTGGCTTTCGGGATGCCGTTAGTGGGGAGGGGGCGCACATTAAAACAAGAAAAACGAAGTGTCTTCAGACGTTGTCTGCTAACCCTGATACCGGTTTGTGTGCGTAGCTCACACACGCCCTTCAAAGACATCTGATGAAGCAGAACATTATTATCCACGCTGTCAAGAACGACTCCAACAACTTGATGCTAATTAATGTAAGCTTAACCAATGGAATTTTATCCCATTGACAACAGATGCACTAGCGACCGTAATCAGGTATCAACGTTTCGGAGTAAGCTGGTTGAAGAACCAGCTTGAAGAGTGATATGCTTGAACTGTAAGCATAGATCGCCAAATCAAGGGCAGGATCGTGTAGATTGACCTGAGAAGAAAGTTGCAGGGAGGAACAATGTAAACGGAAAGTGGTAGAAATTGTAAGTTTTCCTGACAGAGAATAATCTCCGGCTTCCTATTTAAAAAGCGGTTCACTTCGGTAACATCGAACATCACAATCAACTAATGCGCACTGCGGTGTGCGGGGATCATAGCTAAGGAGCCCTGCAATGGCGCGCGTAGGAACGGTAACACGCAATCTAATAAACACCATAATGTATCAGTAACTCGTGTTGGCGCTCCGTTGTCTTGCCATGACTAGGCAACAACGATAGCATTTAAGGACCACGAACCAGGAGAGTGATAGAAGAAGACAAGATGTAGGGTTCCAGTGCCCTAAGCCAACATTCCCAGATAAAGCGCGCACATATTGCAAACATCACAAGGTCACAAACAGCTGGCTACCGGGCGAAGATTGGCGGCATCGGAAGGATAGCCACAATGCGGTTTCCAATGCCCCGCGTCATAATCAACCCTGAACCATGTAGACCACAAGTACCACGCGCACGTTAAACAAGCAGTCTATCCATGAGACGATAGCAAAAGGATCACTGGTGCCAGTCGTGATCATGAAGGCGCCGAACAAAGCACAGAATGTAACGAAGGAATTTAGACTTGGAACGCGAAACGAAACAACAGCAACCAACTCACCGTGGATTCTTACGCATTACAAACGAGTTAAATAAAATGAACCTATTTTCGGTAGGTGGTGAGCAGGCATACGTGGCACGCAACAGGAGTAACACAACGCAATCCGCCTTATCTGTTGATCCGAAGAACCAACGTAGCCAGCGCCGGTAGATGAACACTTAGGCACTTCAATATCTTGGTAAAACTGTCAACATTAAGTAATGCCTAGTGGGTCATAACGGGCAAAGGTCACAAAACATATGAGATCTGCAGAGAGGGAAAGCTGGAACAAGTTTCACTATAGTGAGGAAAAACTGCACCTCGGTAGACAAGAGCTTTAAAATCAAGGGAGAATCTCTTACAGTGCCAAAAATGCTGCAGACCTAGGTGGAGAGTTTCTAGCCTATGTATATAGTGAACTACTCTAAAAAAGTCGGAATATTCGCTATGTTCAATTAAGCTACTAACAGGAGTGGTACAAACAACTGCTTCCAGTTCTCCATCATCAACAGTAAAAAACGGGCAAGCGGTCCTGCAGCGGCAGTTAGCAAGCAATTAGCAAAATGCATTCCAAGTAGTGGGACCACTATGGAGATTCCAGCAATGGATTATGTTCCGCAAAAGAATATCTAGTTCAATCAATATTCTCATGAGAATGGCTCAGATATCGGCGAGGTTAAATGCAAAAAGACCACCCGACAGAAAATGCAGCAAAATTGAGTGGAAATGAAAAAGGACAATCCCGGCGGATCCCATTTGCTGGATTTCTGAATTGAATGAGCTCCAGCAAGTGCATCGAAAGAGACACACGTAGTTTGCATCGGTGAACACACCAACAGGCGCGGTCCACCGTGCATGGGATGCAGATCTAACGCTTCTCATGTGGTGAAAATACAAACATTGTGACCGATTGCAACCTGGAAACAGCCTGTTCTTGTAACATTCGTGATTCATGTTGCGCAGTAAATTGATATGCAGATCAGAAAATTTGTTACTACCGTTGTCAAACATATACCTGCGCAAATGGCGTAAAAGTTGCGACTGTCCTAAGTGTAATGTTACCTTTACTAAGTCTCCCATGGTGGTTCAGCTCAGTGAACTTGATCGGCGCAATGAAGCCTTGTGGATCCAGTCGCCTCGAAGCAAGTCGCCGATATAACAAAAATAACAACAGCTCAAGAAAAACGAACAGAAATTGAATAGTGAACAGTTTGAAAATAAAACAGGATGTATGCAACGTCATTAGTGATCCCGTGAGGGGAATA